GGGAGGATTCCAGGGAAATTGGGTATACGCTCAGACTCGCCGAGTCGCTATAGCGCACTCGCCGAGTCCGGTCAAAGTTGACCGTTGACCGTTGACCAGCGTTGACCTGATTGACTTGTTATAGTATGGTCAACCCTAGTTGGGAAAGTGTTAATTAGAGATGTATTGTGCTATAGGGGGACTACAGCTCGGCAGATCGAGTGATTAGCGATTTCAGGTTTACGATTTACCGAGACACGCGAGGTGAGTCTTCTCACTATACTTTACCTTGAGTAGGTAACCAGAGTTATGTGATAGAGTATTTGTATGCTATGTATGTTGTGTGTTGTACTGCATGATTTCTATGTGATTTATGTGGTGCATGTTTATCAGAGCTAGAACCTGAGGGTTCACAGAGTTTGGGTGCACGGACCCACAGAGTTATAGCCTAGAGTGGCTAATATGTGTTATATGTGGTATTTTGGGGAACTCACTAAGCCTTGTGCTTACAGTGTTGATGTTATTTGTTTCAGGTACTAGTGACGACCGCGGGAAGGCGCCGGCTTGATCCGTATACACACACGTTCGGAGCTTGATATTATGATCTTGGGATTTTGTACTGTTTTGTTGGATAATTAAAATGGTTGTTTTTATGAATATCGATGGAATTATGTTTTATAAAAATTGAAAATTTTGTTTGAAATTTTCAGTGTTACACTTCAAGTGCTGAGCGGACGGTTCCACGTGATAAGGAGTAGTTTGGACGATCTAGACGAACAACTAGATGGAAATTAGAGAGCGGCAGAGGCTCAACCTGCAACAGTGAAAATAATCTGAGTTGTGGAAGCATTGGTGTTTTGGTTATCAAAAGACATGGTTGAAGATCGATAACTCTCATACCATATAAATATAAAGTAATGAGGTATGAGAAAAGTTGTGTAGTACATCTCATTACAGGAGATATATACAAGAGAAGAAAGTTAATTACAGAAATTATGGTAGTGATTGCTAATCAACCAGCTACAATCAATGATGAAATCAATCACAATAAAAGATAAACACAAGAGATAATCATCCTAAAAATGGAATTGTAAAAATATCTTAATAGTAACTTATCACGTTTCATCTTATACATTCAATCAACTGACGATATGACAATTCAAAGATAACATCTTTTATGAATTAAGAAAATAAAATCTAATTAGATGACCACAACTCGAAAAACGTTTTTTTGTACGCGTCTATACTTGTCAAAATTCATTTCCAACACTGGGGCCTAGGAACATCAACATGATTGGTTTAGGTACGTAATTAGCAATCATCTTAACCAAAATCCTATTGCGATATACATATTTTTGACTAACAAAAATCTTACCGATTAGTCTCCACATAAGAAACATCAGGATATCATACTAAAACAAAGCATGCTCATCAACATTCTAAGCCAATATACATGCATATCAAATTATCATCAAAAGTAATTAATTAAATTCAGTAGTTACTTTATTATTATTATTATTATTATTATTATTATTATTATTATTATTATTATTAAAAAAAGAAGTTATATTTTCATGTAATAAAGGTAAAGTTGAGGAAAAGCTAAGGATGGTGGCCACAAGAGTTCAAGCAGCCTTGATTATCCCGTGGTTAATTTAAGGAAGGACATTGTCATCATGTGTTATGTGTAGCTGGTTGGCCTTCAATTAATTAAAAGCAAGCACTGCAGCACCTGTAACTTTAATCTGTATGGGTTTAACAATTAACATTTGGCCCATTCATTCATCCCTTTTATTTACTTTTTTTCTCTTCCAAGTATTTAAATTTATGAAAAAATGATTATTGGTCTTTATGAATCTTTGTTTGATAATATTCAAATATATGAATATATAAACTTGCCGTAATAGAAAGGTTTACAAGTTGAAAAAATTAGTTAATAATGGAGTAATGGAATTGAAGTGATTATATCGTGTAAAACCACGTATAATGAGTTGTTATATTAAATGAAGTAAAACCAAGTGTAATGAGGCTAGTTGCACTTCTAGCTTCTTGTCACAAATATTCATAACTTTTTGACGTGTCAAACTCTAAACGGTCTTTAAGCCAAATAAAGTCAATTATGATTTACCCCACAATCACTTTCCATGTTAAGTACGACCATCACATGAACACTCAATAGAAAAGTTTCTTTTTATAAAAAAGAAAAACTTATAAAGAAAACATGTACGTGTACCAATTTTGACAAAAAAATTGCGCAAAGTAACTAATAAAGCCGGATTTTTATTTATTTATCTGCTAACTTTCACACAAAAACCAAAAGTTTTAATATGATTAAAAGGATAAAAAAAGGTTAATATTATTCAAGTTTACGAGGTTTAAAACAAGAAAATAATAATAAATAAAATAAACGACTTGATGTGTGACATTGTCACGGCTATAAAAAGACAAGGTCGGTCTTGCCACAACTCAAATTTATAGTGTTTTTAGCATCTCCAAACATACTGCATATATACACTTCCAATATTCTAAACAAAACCATAACATGTCGCTGCCGGAATCACAAATGGCCAAAACTCTACCGGACGCTTGGGACTACAAAGGCAGGCCGGCACCCCGTTCCACCACCGGCGGCTGGACTAGTGCCGCCATGATTCTAGGTCCACCTCCACCCACGGCGGCTCAGTTTTCAATCACTTAAGTGACTGAAACAGTCACCGGAGATGTTTTATTTTTGTTTTTGTCGTTATACGTATATATATATATCGTGATCTGATGTTTTTATTTTTAATTATTCAGGGGTGGAGGCGTGTGAGAGGCTAACGACGTTGGGTATCGCCGTTAATTTGGTGACGTATTTGACTGGTACTATGCATTTAGGACAGGCTAACGCCGCTAACGACGTTACTAACTTCATGGGTACCTCTTTCATGTTATGTCTCCTCGGCGGTTTCGTCGCCGACACCTTTCTCGGCCGCTATCTTACAATTGCAATATTCACGGCGGTGCAAGCAACGGTCAGTAGTTAAACTTCTTTTTACTCTTCCATTCCAAAAACATTCTGTTCTGAAGTTCTGATTAAACAATATTTTTAAAATTTTCATGCATATTTATATATAGGGTGTGACGATATTAACGATCTCAACCGCCATTCCAAGCCTACAACCACCAAAATGTTCCAAAACCGGTGGTTCCTGCATTCCGGCGACCGATCTCCAGTTAGCCGTTCTGTACCTGGCCCTATACTTAACTGCTCTGGGAACCGGAGGGTTAAAATCCAGTGTATCGGGTTTCGGGTCGGACCAGTTCGACGAAACGGACAAGGAGGAAAAGGCCCAAATGACAACCTTTTTCAACTGGTTCTTCTTCTTCATAAGTATCGGGTCATTGGCGGCAGTTACGGTTCTGGTTTATATCCAGGACAACCTAGGGCGGCGGTGGGGGTATGGGATCGTGGCGTGTTCAATCGGGTTAGGGTTGATGATATTCTTGTCGGGTACAAGAAGGTACCGGTTTAAGAAGCTCGCGGGTAGTCCGTTAACCCAAATAGCATCGGTTTTCATCGGAGCATGGAGGAAGAGGCATTTGGAGCTTCCGTCGGATCCTTCCTTGTTGTTCAATGTCGATGATGTTTCCCAAGGAGTTGGAGTTGACGGAAAAAACCTTAAACAGAAGTTGCCTCACAGCAAACAGTTCCGGTCAGTCATTTATCTTAAATAAATCAATTAAATATGATATCTATTTGTTACACCCCATCCAATGTCTGTCGGTTTTGAATTTAATAAAACATTTACACTATCACTATACAAAATAATGCACTAATATTTTAATGTATCAAAATGAGATGCATGTGTGATTCGAAAAAAGTTCACGAGCACCTGAAGATGAACCCAGTCTGTCAACAATATTTTTTTATGACGTGGTTAAATATCTACCAAGATTAATTCTCTCTCGATTAAAATATATACTCCTATATCTAATAATAATTTTTTTTTTTTTACGTTTTTCATATTTACAGTTTTCTAGACAAGGCGGCAATCAAGAACAGTGAGGCTGTGAAGGAGGTGAACAAATGGTACCTTTCGACTTCAACCGACGTAGAAGAAGTGAAAATGGTGATCACGATGCTCCCGATTTGGGCGACGACAATCATGTTCTGGACAATATACGCCCAAATGACAACTTTCTCAGTGTCACAAGCCACCACCATGGACCGCCACATCGGAAAATCCTTCCTCATCCCTCCGGCGTCCTTGACCGTCTTCTTCGTGGGGAGTATTCTGTTGACCGTTCCGGTGTACGACCGCATCATCGTCCCAGTCGCCAGACGGGTCCTCAAACACCCACAAGGGCTAACCCCACTTCAACGGATCGGGGTCGGGCTGGTGATGTCTGCGTTAGCCATGGTTGCAGCCGCGTTGACCGAGATCAAACGACTTCGCATGGCTCAGACCCATGGCTTGGTCAACGACCCGTCAAAGGTGGTCCCACTCAGTGTGTTTTGGTTGGTTCCTCAGTTTTTCTTGGTGGGGTCAGGGGAGGCGTTTACTTACATCGGGCAGCTTGATTTCTTCTTGAGAGAGTGCCCGAAAGGGATGAAGACGATGAGTACTGGTTTGTTTTTGAGTACGTTGTCGTTAGGGTTTTTTTTAAGTTCGTTGTTGGTGAGTATAGTGCATAAGGTGACAGGGGAGAGAGAGCCATGGCTAGCGGATAATTTGAACAAAGGAAAGCTTTATAACTTCTACTGGTTGTTGGCAATTCTAAGTGTTTTGAACATGGGGTTGTATTTGATAGGGGCCAAATGGTATGTGTATAGGGAACATAGGCTTGCTGGGGAGGGCAGTGCCATTGAGTTGGAGGAAGACAAGTTTGGTGCTTGAAGATGATGATGATGATGATAGATGCATATTTATGTGGACTAATTTGTTTATCTAAAGTTTTAATTTGTAAAATCTGTGATGATCAAGATAATGACGAAAGTGATATGAACAGTTAGTTACTTAAATTTTTGACATATATATGTTGTAGGCAATGAATGAATAATGTCTATCCAATAAATATATATATATGTATATATAACCCGAAAGATACACATCTAAATATATATATAACCCGAAAGATACACATCTAAATTAAGTAGCTAGCTAGCTAGTTTTAGTGCCAAGTGCCAACGTTACGCCACCCACCCGAAGATTGTTGTTATCTATATCTTTTTTCTTTAAGTAACCACTAAGAATCTTGAAGAATTGGGTTTTATACATACATACATACATATGGATTTTTGTACCTCCTCCCTTTCTCCCTGCATTTACAACATGATAAAAACTCTCTTTTAAGTTTAGTTTTTCTTTTATTTACCGTAGAAAAGAAAAAGAGATAAAAGTAATTTACCTTTGGATAAATCAGGATATGTTGATGGAATCATTACTAAATTCACCAAATATATTCGGGCAACCCTCCCACTTACCATCCTCACGTTCTTCCCAATATCCACCTACATACCGATACGTCCCGTCTTCACCCTCTTTTTTAAACCATCGTGGTTTCCATCCATTTTCTTGTAGTTTTCGTGACTAGAAAATATTAAATCAAATAATAATCAATTAATCAATACTCGCAATGTAATGTGTTCCTCAAAAGTTCAAAGGCTAATGTCAAAAACCGGTAACAAAAGGTTCAGGTTAAGAAAGCATACCATTCTCTGTCTGGTCTCAAGACGGAGCTTTTCTGAATTTGCCATGTCATATTCACCATTCTCAAGGTGTCGTTGGTCTGGCCTGAGTCGTGAATCCGTAGGTGGAAGCTTCTCCTTAAATAAAAAAAAAAAAAACAAATCTTAAATAAAATCGATATCATCAAGAGTTTGAATTTGAAAGAATGGGTTTGTGATTTTTACCTGTAGTCCTGGGGTTAACTCGTTCAATGTGATGGCAAAAGATGTTAGATTGTATCGAGTGAGATTAACAGGAGGAAGTGTCCTTCGCCACAACAGATGTGCATCACTCATATCCTTTGGTTTCGCATTTGTAATTCCATTTATGTAGTACATGCTGTCGTCCCATTTCCCAAATAATGTTGCGAGTTTTTTTCCATTAGCATCTTCAACAAACCCATGTACCTGTTCAACAATCATTAGGGATCAAAATTCTATAATTCATATTAATGCCAAACATTTTTTAACCATTTACCTGGCGTGGATTTCTTTCAAGAATCGACTGTTCTTTGAACTTGAGCTTGCATGAATATTCTCTATTACCACGGATATGCATCAATCCATGATGATCACAGTATACTTTACCCAAAATAAGATTATAAATGCTGGTTGTAACCTGATGAGACCAAAATCAAAAATACGCATAAATACGGGGAAACTCAGACTAAGACTAAAATCCAAAATGACCATTTTACCCTTTTGCATTTTTTTCATACCTTGCTCCACTGGAAAACCTCACCATCATCAAATTCTAAGGTAAGAACGCCAACAGGATCAAGTTGAATTGATCTCCCCCAAAATTTAGTTCTGATGTTGCTGTCCCCCCAAAACTTCCAGCCTCTGCCTTGAGAATGACAAGCTATGAGAGTAGGATGATGACTCACCTTTTCAGAAAAGAATCGGACTCCTTTCTCAGGGTAATCAGCCTCATAAGTTTCCCCTAACAAAGGGTTGAAAGGTTTACAATGTCGTCCTTCTGAAGAAGCGTATCCAGAAACAGCAAAAGCAGCAACATTTAAAACTCTTTCAAGACTGTTTCCATGTTCATAAGCACGATCTAGAAGGTAGGAGTACTCCAGATCCTCAAAGCATTTTTGTAGAGATGAAATTGGCTCATTGAAATAAACAGGGAGACAGACACGTGTCAGATCCTTTCCAACGTTGTCTTTAATCAATGACCACAGACTCACACCCTTTTCTTTCTCACAAGGATCCGGAAGCTTCTTTCTCCTCTCGATAACCACTTCACCCATTACATCAGTAGCTCTAGGAAAACTAAAACAATCTTTTGTGTCAAAGAAGCAAGTCTCCTCATCTTCTGAACCCTGATCCTCTAGTTCTTGTGATGATTCGGTTGTACTCCATTCTGAATATCAAGTTCCACAATTGAATATATTTATTATATTTATACAATAATAGTAAGAAATAGCATACCACTGTATTTTCCACGATCTGTAAATTCCTGTTGTGTCAATTGATAGTCACCTTCAGGAACTCCAGATGTTTCACCTTCAATATTAGCAGCCTGATTCATGCAAAGATTAATGCTTCTGATTATACAATTAGGTAAACCATACACATAACAACCACAGGTGATGATGAATTTATTTATTACTCAACAAGAAGAATTAAAATATACCTCCAACTGCCTTAAGGTGTCGAGCAGATTTGAACGCTCTTCACAAAGAAGTTGAACTTGTCCTTTGATTTCAGAGAATTCCAAGAGCATGATCTGCTCACAGTCTTTGATCAGCACCTCACTGATTCCTTCTTCAAGCAAGCGTTTCTTTAATCTTTCAGTTGACAATGATAGGTCAGGAGGTAGGATGGAGGGTTTAGAATTTAATCTTCGTAGGGTGAATAGATTTCTGGTTGAGGCTAAAGATTCAATCCAGGCAACTCTGTCTTTCTTTGAATTTGTCCGGAGATGAAGTGTCTTTGTAGCTGTGAATATATAAAATCGCCTATCATCTGATCTGCTCTCTCGAAATGATGAAACCTGCAAATAAAATTAAAAAAAAAAAAAAAAAAGTATTAATCGCATTGTGATTGTGATTGTGATTCTACTCTTATATTTCCATCCATGTAAGCATGAATGAATCAACCCAAGTAAAAAGAAAGAGACGCAAAAACTGACCAAAAGACAAGATCTAAAGGAAGTGGGACTTGTAAGACAAGGAAAACTCTTATCCAAGTTTAAAGCGACGAAGAAAAAAAAACAGGGTGAAGCAGTCGTCGTGACCACAAAATAAAGCCAGGCTGCAAATGGCTAGGTGGCCCTGCTGATGTGACCCACATATATATTCATATAAAACAATTGAGTAATAATTTCCAAGTATTTACTGAACTCATATCAATCATATACAAAATTCAATAAATGCTGATGTTATTTATTATACGTGTATTTTATCAGCATACAGAGAATGGTCAATGGGGATGAGCTCGGATATCAAGGCAATTCATGGCGGCACGGAAAAGATGTACAACCGGAGTCAACTTTTTGCCGTTAAAGGAAACTTTTCCGTGGAAAAGCGATTGGAACATACCGTCTCTGTGCTGTGTTGTGTGTGCTCTTTTCTCTTCCTAAAACCTTTTGCTTTTGGTTTAATTTCGTAGTTATGGTTCGAAGTCGTTTGATTACCTTGAGGTGAACGATTCCAACAGCTTTCTGATGCCTGCTACTACCGCTTCTATCGAGACGTTTAAGTCTTCCGGAGGACACGTCGCCGATGAACCTAACGTCTTCTCCGGCAGCGAGGGTTTCTGGTTGGAGGATCTTCGAGTAGGAAATTACGCCGTTGCGTAACAAAAACCATCTCGATCTCCATCCTTTGCCGTAGTTTGTCCATTTGTATAAGACTCCGGCGAAGCTTGTGCTGCCAGAACAGGATTCAGATCCAGACCTCCTCAATCCAACGGCATTGCCATCGGATCTCATGTCCGCCACCGAACACGACCTTGACAACTTCATCCTCGGTTCCGGCGACTGGTCCCCGATCGACGGACTTTCCAGTGTTATACAACACAACGGATGCATCTCCTTTACTCTCATTTCGTCAATCAAATTCAATTCCTCAACTCAATAAAACAAAACCCCTGATCAAACCACCATCTGCATAAACAGTCGCAAATTGGTAACCATAGTACACCAATTGGCGAAATTTACGAAAGATTTGATAGATATACGTACATAGATGATGCAAGATTGCGGTTGAAAGCGTAGAAATTGAGAGACGGAGAGATTGTAGGAGACGAAGTCGGAAGAAAGTTCAGTAGAAAAAAAAGAAGCCTTTTCAGTATCGATATTTTTATTTTATTAATATTATAATGATAGAGTGTATGTGTGACTGTGTGTTTTGCAATTTGAATGAATACTTATACAGAGGTGGAGTGGCAAAACCGTAAATTTAATGAAACCATTGGCAAAATTTTGGTAGAGGTTGAAAGAGAGAATAGACTCCATCATGTTTCAGCCTCTTAACAAATCAGACACATACATGAATATCTATTTTGGGTAATCTTACAACCGTATTTTGTATATCTTATATTATACGAATCAAATATAACAAAAAAACATGATTTTATTTACATTTTGCAAAATGGATTAAAACAAATCATCAAGAACTAACTATTTTAAATTAAAAAAAAAAACACAAAAATAACCATAAAAACAAATAAAACAAAAGGTTTACCAATTTGAATCTTTGTTCAAAATGATCATCAATTGCATAATATCTATACCAAAATGTTTCAACGTATAAGGATTAACAGTTGACGGATATATACTCATCAGTCGAATGTTAATGATTTAACTTTTGTTGTCGATAAAATGTATAAATTTAAGAGCTAAGCAGGAAATGCGTGTGTAAATTGTTCTAAAAAATTACATAGGAGATATTGTAAATATGAAACTCTAACAAATAGTTGCTCCATACATTATTGTTGAAGATTTTTTTTTCATAAATCTCATTAATTTTAATTTTAAATAAATTTCAAAATCTTTGCCAATCCTAAGACGATATGATATGGGTGGTGGTGGTGGTGATAGTGACACCCTTAACAAGGCATGCACATCACCCCGCCTGGCATCTTTGTGTGGAAGATGTGGATTGAGTCACAATTACATATCTCTCTCTCTCTCTCTATATATATATATATATATATATATATATATATGTGTGTGTGTGTGTGTGTGTGTGTGTGGTTCTTCATGATGTTCTTCTTGGTGTGTCTATGTTTTGAAGATGAAGATGGTGGAGTGAAGGTGGAGACGACCAGACTTCTTGGTTTGCGTATACTATACCATCTAAGATAAAATTATAGATTGACTTTAACTTTCGCACCAGACAAAGAAATACATCTAAAATTTTCTTAGTGATTTTAATAATTCTTACATTCAAATATTGTAAAATAACTTCTAAAATGTATCATTTCAATTTTAAACTACCTTTTCGCATAGCAAAATTACAAATATTGTACTAAAAGGATATTAAGGATATTGACATCAATGAGCATAAAAAGTAAATATACTCTTACATAATAATGATCTTTTAAAAAAAATAAATACTTTAGCTTGAAAAAAATTATTTATGAAATCATATATTTGACATAAAGGGGGTTCGAAAACCATGTTTTGCGAAATTGACTATGAATTTTTGAAGACAGATTGTAAATAATGTTTTTCTTGAAATAGGCTTCGTTTTTCGAAATCTAATTTATTAACATAAAATAACTCTGAAAATAGTTTTTGTTAGAAATAATGTCCAAGATCATTAACTAATTGTTAATACCTCTAAATAATAAAATGCTCATTTTGGATTGGCCTCATGACACTAATAGCATTATTAAAACAGAAAAAATAAGTAGTTAATTTATTAAAAAATTAATATATTAACTTTAATTAAATAGTTTTAGTAAATTAAATAGATTGAATATTAATTAGATCTTTAGGATTAATTTGAATATTCTAGAACCATCTAGAGAAAAGAGATGAAATTTGAATAAGGTAAGGATTATCTTTTAAAATTTTGAATTACTTAATGATTTATTAGCTCCTTATAAATAGGAATAATCAAACCCTAAATGCTTTTTCATTCATAAATTACTTCTGTCATCTTTTCTTCTCTTTATGGACAAAAATTATAACCCTTTTTCTAGGGTCATTAAAATTTCCACTTAACCCTAATTTGGGTTTTCCGTGTGCTTTTGGAGACTTGGGTGTGACTACATTAGTGTTCTACTTTGACATGTTCATCCTTTGCAAGAGATGTCCATCACACGATCTAAGGATCAAGAGGCAAGTTTTTTTTTCTTCTTTCAGTTTGATTTTAAAGTATGTTGCATACTAGGAAAACCTAGATTCTCGGATGTCTGTGCACTTAAGTAAATTTGTAGATTATTTCGCTATCTTTAGATAGTCTACTTGATGTAATAAATCCTCAATAGTAGTATTAGAGCCAATAAGTTTTAGTTGTTGGAACATATTTTGTAAAACCGAAAATTGAAAAGAAATCTGCTTAGTCATAGGGTGTAGCACGCCCGTTTCTGGATGTGACGCACTTGCCTGACTTTTAGGCTTTCGATTTTTTTTTTTTTTTTTTTTGAAAATTGGAGGTGAGATTCTTGATTAAAACATTATTTTAAGTTGTTTAAATGTGATAATTCAAAATTTAGATTAATTTGCAATATTGTTTAATAGGATTTAAATTTGAATATTTGATTAATCAAAAGTTAATTAATATTAAACTTAAATTTAAAATTTGAATATTTTTCTTGAAACTAGAAAAGGACACACGGCTCCACCGCTTTTGGATTATATCATAGAAGTTGAAAATCGGCTAACTTTAAAAGATGTGTTGAAAGTGTAAATCACCACAAATAAAGGAGAAAACCGACAACCCCTAAAATTAGATGTCAAAAATGTACAATCAAAAGAAAGAACATTGACTGAGAAAAAAAAATATTGTGGCCATAGTGTGAAAGTTGTCAAAGTTAGAAAAATATTGTGGCAAATGTCTAAAGGAATTTTTTGTTTTTGTTTTTGTTTTTGTTTTTTTTTTTTTTTCTTTGAGTGTGTTTTTATGTCAAAATGCAAAAAAATTTACTTCAAGGTTGAGAGGTGTCAAAACATCAAAATATAAAAGTTTAGACTGTAAGGACGAAAAGTGTTAAACTCACTAAAAATTTGTGGTGAACATTTGTGGTAAAAACCTAAACCCAAAAAAAGTTACTATTACTAAGGGAACTTAAATTTATTATATATATAAATTATTTAATAAGTGAATATTATTTAAATTAGAGAATTAAATTTGAGTATTTGAAAGAAAAGAATATAAATTTAAAATGTTTAAATTTAGTATATCGTGTAATTTGCTATACATATTATGGTTATACCACATGTGTTCTCACATGTTAATTAAAAATATTATCATCGAATAGAGACTAGGTGTACCAACTTTAATATTGGCTTAAGGAGGTCTCTATGATTCTGATATATATATATATATATATATATATATATATATATATATATATATATATATATATATATATACATATTATGTTTAGTCATTTTTATGCTCGTTATAGAACAAAAGATACTTAGTCTAATATATGTTGTGTTGTAGGGATAAAAGACATGTTTGGAGCAAAAAGGAAGCTGGAAGCTAGGAACTTGGATCAATGCTAAAATGAACAAAAGTCTCATTCCCACGTCGTGATGAAATTACCACGATCTGGTGCTTTGAAGTTTTTCATCGAACCTCGAAGACTTGCGGATTACGTTATAAACCCGAAGACCATGTCGTGGTGGACTTGTCACGATGTGGTGGACCGACTTCGAGGAAAATATAAATAGAAGACACATTCCTCTAAAAAAAAAACCTGACTTTTGTTGGAGCTTTTATCGACTTTAGAAGACCAAGAACGTACTTGGAAGCTTAGAGTTGTAGAAGATCGATTAGAAGCTTGAATTTGAGAGATTTAAGGCAAAACATCTTATTAATACTTTTTATTCTTGTGTTTGATCGTGTATTACAAGTTGAATTTCGTTTTTATATGTTTACTTGCTAAAATCATGGTAAAAACCCCTGACTTTCGTTTAGCCTAGATTACTTACTTATCTATGGTTTGATTTATGGATTGGATTAGTGGGGTGTTTGGGGTTGCTTTTTAGGCTAAAAAGTTCTTTGATACAAAATATCTTTTTAACTTTTGGCTTTTTACAAAAGATGGTTTTAAAATGTGTTTGGTTTATCTTTTGAAAAGTTAAAGGCTAAAATCCTAAAAGTCACAAAAAGTCACTAAATTATGACTTTTGAAACAGCCCATTTTTGTTCTTGCCAAGAGTAATAAAAAGTTGATCTAAAAATGACTTCTTAAGCTAACAAACATCTTTTTTACTTCTAGCTTTTCCAAAAATCCAAAATTCATTTTTAAAAGCAATCCCAAACACCCTCTAAGCTAAGTTAGTTATTTGTTAGTTTAGCTTATTAAATAATCTTTCTAGGCTTATGTGAACTATGTTTATGCTTAATGTTGAGTTTAATTAAGTTTGCATGACTATCATTCTTGATTAAACTTGAATTTTATGATCTTGTAAATTGCAAAATTATAGGACTAGTATTGTGACCAAAACCTAAGGTTAAATAAAAAAGTGGGTAAGTAATTGTATGAGATAATATATGAGGACCAATCATATATTGATTGATTTAATTAACCAAATTGATCAATCCATTATATGTCTAATATAACTCGAACTGAACACTAGTAAATTTGTTAGTTTATCCGTCTGATCACCGTACGAATGAACTTATTTACCAAAGGATTAGGTTAGTGAACATCAACCTAGTTATCTTAGGAATCAGTAACCAACGAAGCATTAATCTATTGCACTTAGATTAACTCAACCATAATAGCAAGTATATCGAAGCTAAACGAAAGTCTCTCAATTATCTTGGTTAAAATCATCTTTTGTGTTTCTTGCTTTTAGTTTTGATTTTTATTTCAATTAGCTGATAATTAGTTTTAGTATGATTAACGAAGTTTCTAGTTTTGCAAAACTAGAGAAAACCCCTTTCTTTTATTAAATAGTAATTTAGGTAATTAGTAGATAAAACAAGTTAATAATTGTGTACCCTACGTTCGATACCCGACTATTTGTACTATTCTATTTTCGACTAGGTACATTGCTTAGGAGTAATAGTTAGTTACAATTAGTAGGTTAAAACTAGTGCATAATTATTTTCACATCAAGTTTTTAGCGCCGTTTCTGGGAAATGGTTGATTTTTAGTTAATTTTTATCTGCTATTTTATTAGGAATTTTTCTGTCTATTTTCTCTTAATTTTGGTTTTAGTTTTCTTCTGATTGGCTTACCACGGAATGGTGT